GGTACAAACTTTGGATATAGTTTATAGACTCTTAGGCATCAACTGGGCAATAACAAGATTTGTGAGAGATGGAATTTAGGCGTGAAAGAGCATTAGAGGACGAAGGAAACAAGCGGACTTAATACTGCATACCATCTTTTGGACAATGTGGAAGGAGAGGAACAAAAAAGCTTTTGATGGGATTGATGACGAGGATGGTTTTGATTTACTTAAGAATAGATGGTTCCAGTCATTTGGATTTTTGTTACTAACTCATCCTCTTTATTCAATAGAGGATTTAGGGGATCTCATTGATATTTTGGTAGGCTTGTAAATTTTTGTACATGGGTGGGCACCCTCTGGGTGTGGATATTAATTTACACTTTATACTTTGTATTTTAAAGAAAAAGATAGTGAAAATTTAATATATAATAACCTTGCTCTTATGGCCAAGTTGTACCCAAAGCGAGGGAGAATTATGTAGAGCTGGAACAATCTAAGATGAAATTTTTTATTATTAATCCGCATCGTGACACATAAATGTGGACCCTATAATCCTCAACCGTACATACTTGTAAATCCTTGTTTGATCACCTCACCAAAGACCCCATGTCCCCTTTCCCTATTGCCAAGGAATTTTGGAAAGTTCCAGATCTTTCAAATGTAAAGGTTTTTGTTTAGATTTCCATTCATCAAAGGCTCAATGCTAATGAGATGTTACATATCCGTCAGCCCAATGGAGCTCTATCTTCGAACATCTCTTATGTGTTATAAAGATGGCAAAACTCAATTCTCATTTGTTCCTTTATTGTGAGATAGCATGGAAGATATGGACTAAGGTGTTTCAGACATTTGGTTTCTATTGGGTTGTTCCTCCTCTAATGGACGGGCTAATATGGAATTTAGTTTTCAGGGGGAGGGAGTTCCGAAAAGGAGCCAAAACGATTTGGCAGGGAGCTACTTTTGCAGGCCTATGGATTTTTTGGCTTGTGTGCTATCAGAGAATTTTTGGTGATCGTTACTCATTAATTTCAAAGAGATGTGGGAAATATCGACTTTTCTGGCTACCTTTTGGGACAAAACTCAAGGGAGTTATTCCAAACATTCTCTTATTGAGGTCCATCGGAACTGGGAGGCAATCATTTGGCCGCCCACATGATGACCCTTTTCCTTTGTCTTTATTGTCTATTCTAGGGTTACTGTTTGGAGGATGTCTTATTCTCCATTATTCTATTTCTCTTTCTCTCTCTCATAATACCTCTTCTTCTATCAGAAAAAAGGAAGTGTTTTCATAATAGTTATGTAATTTTTGTATGTTCTTTCATTCTGTGGACTATTTTGAACATATGTAGGCTCACTTGTAAATCCTTGCTTGTGTACAAAAATTTTGTATGTTCTTTCATTCTCTTTCCTTCTTAATCTCTTTGCATTGTATCTTAAACTTTGCTGGAAGAATGCGGGCTAGTGCTACCTATTAGTTATTTATTAATGATTGTGAAGTTGTGAAAGATGTCCTACATCACCATGACAGAAAAAGTGAGATTTATATTACACAAGCTTCAAAATATTTTATTATGGGATCTAATCTTTTCTCTACTATTTTTTCTATTTCAGGAGTTACATCTTACTTTGATTCACAAGGAAATATTAGGGACTTCTTTAAAATGTCGAAGTCTATTCTTGATGTTCTAATCGGAGTTGGAATGAAATCTTCGCTACCAAAGCTTGTCCGAGCTGGGCCTCCTGAAGTTCTTCCTGTTCTTTTAGATGGTCGTGTCATTGGTTCTTTAGCTTCTGGTGTTGTACCGAAAGTTGTTTCTTATTTACGTAGATTGAAGGTCTCGGCTACTTCACTGGTATGTCTTGTTAGATTCTCTTCTTGCGTGCCTCATTTCCACTTCTCTGTCTTCCCAAAAAACAATATTGTCATGCATTTTGCAGATTCCTGGGGACCTTGAAGTGGGATATGTTCCTTCTAGTATGGGTGGAACATATCCTGGTCTGTACCTGTCAACCTCTCCATCTAGATTTGTTCGGCCTGTGAAAAATATTTCTGTCTCTTTCGAGGCAAATCAAAATATTGAACTTATTGGGCCATTCGAACAGGTAAGTTCAGGCTTCTTATTTACGTTACTACCTTGGTCATCAGATGCACCTTTCCTCATGGAAGATTTTGGCACCAAATTTTAGTGCTCAACTTGGTTTTTGCATATCCATTAGGTCTTTATGGAAATTAGTTGCCCTGATGGTGGAAATGGAGGAAGAAGTAATGGTTTTCCTGCAACTCATGAAGAAATTCATCCAACTGGAATGCTCAGTGTGGTAGCTAATCTTACACCTTGGTCAGATCATAATCAAAGCCCACGCAACATGTACCAGTGCCAGGTTCTTTAACTTCTCTCATGTTATTTAAAACATGTTTTTTTCCTACCTGCTTTATATTCCATATCATTTTATGTTTGTTTGAATTGTCTAGATGGCAAAACAAACAATGGCTTTCTCTTCACAAGCAATTCACAACCGTGCTGATCAAAAGCTGTACCACCTTCAGGTTATTTTTCTCTCTCCTTGTGCTTTCATTTTAATTTCTGGCATTACATCCTTTATAGTGACACTTGGTAGTGTAGTTGCCATACAGCCCTTTTTTTAATCAGAGTAACCTAAGCTAACTTTTGTTGTCTTTTGTCAACATTATATCACAATGATAGAACCAAAACTACAGAAATGATTAGATGTACTGAGGCGGAACTCTTATGATGTTGATAGGATGCAGAAACATAAAAGGCGAATACGTTTTTCTTACTAATTAGATGGTTGTGTCAATCACTTGGTTCACTATTTCTTCTCTTCAATCAATTCCCTATGGAAATTGGTGCTTTCTCTAGTCAGGAAGAAAAATAATTGATTTTCAATGTGCAACTAATGCTTCAATTCTGTGTATTGTGTAAAGTGTCAGGAAGCTATCTCAAAATGATATTTATTTCAAGTAGCTTGGCAATTGGCTTGTGATTGGATGCAGGAATTCTTCTGAAACTGATTGAGACTCTCGTGACAGTCTACTTTGCTTTTTTTTTTTAATTAAAGGAAAAATAGCTGTTTAAAAACATTTGTAGTGAGAGGAACGACTTATTTCAATCTTATATTTCAAAGCCGTGGACTGTCATGCATCTAATCTGAGGGTTTTGTTTTTTCCTCATTATTTTTGCTAATTCCAAAAAGAATGTTATTGGCATTGCAGACTCCTCAAACTCCTATTGTGCGCACAAGTGCGTATACAAAATACAACATAGATGAATTTCCTACTGGAACAAATGCAATAGTTGCCGTCCTGGCATACACCGGGTTAGATTTCTAGATAAATATATTCATTAGTTATATTATGCTAGCATTTACTTTTATTTTATCAATATCAAAAAACCTGTTTTCTTTCAGATATGATATGGAGGATGCTATGATTCTAAATAAAGCATCTGTTGACAGAGGGATGTTTCATGGACAAATATACCAGGTCGGTTTCTGGTTAAGGCTTTATTTCAGTTTCATTTAATTTCTCTTTTTCTTTATGGTGAGGATTGGAGCGGGGAGGAGAGGGAAGAGGGTTGGGGAGGGGGGGAGACTATAAATTCTATGCTTGTTGGACTCCTTTCATCTTTTTGCATAACTTTCAGTATGCAGATATTGTTTCGATCATTTTTTCTTCCTTATTTTCTTCTTTATTTTGGAGGATCTTGTATGTTCTAATGATGTATTCAGTCCCTTTCTCTCTATTAATACTTCTTTCAAAAGAAATTTGAGATGCTTGACAAATCGATTGTTTAATCATCACATCTATTAAATACATAGGTACCATGATTTTCTTTAGTACATAAAGGCATTTGAAATTCTTATTGTCCTTTTTATTTTATTTTTCTCGGCTACAATGGTGTGAAGACATGTTTTCAATTTCTGTTATTTCCATCTCCATTTACCGTATTGCCTTTCCCTTGGCAGACAGAAACTATAGATTTGTCTGATCAGAGCAGCAGGTGTCGTGGTCAAAGAATGTTCAGAAGAGATATTCATGACAGATCGACCCATTCTTTCATTGATTCAGATGGACTTCCATACGTTGGTCAGGTTGCTTTTCTCTTTCTTTACCTTTTTACCTTCCTTCGGTTTTTTTTTGTTTTTTCCCTGCATTACTTGAATAAATGTTAAAGGGTCTTGTTTTCTTAGAGAAAAATTATCATTCACAGGCACAATGGGGATGACACTCAATTACCTGAATACTACTAACTCTTTTTTATGATTGTCATTCAGATGATACATCCAAATCAACCCTATTGTAGCATTTATAATGAGGTAACAAACACAACAAGAACTAATAACCGAAAAGGTACAGAACCTGTTTTTGTTGACTATGTCGCTGTTGATATGAAAAGCAAGAACAATCTTCAAAAGGTAAGCAGACTTCTTTCACTGACTAAGTCAGTTATCTGCATGGGTTGAAAAGAACATGAATGTGGCCAATGGGAATGTGGTTATTTATTTACTTATTTATTTTGGATATACATAAAAGATGTATCAGTGTAGCTAGACTATGTGGTTTCTTTTCAGAATTCTAGTTTCTTTATTTCCACGTTACAGCTATACTCTGTGGTAGTGTTATTTCTGGGAAATAAAAATAAATCTTTTATTTCTTTGGGATTTTGAGTTTGAAAAGTATCAAGCATGCATCCTTCATTCAAATGATATGTTTTCTTAATAGACTGCTATTATGAATTTTTGTTGGCCTCTACTCCGATCCACTTGAATCAGACAGGCAATAACTTTTTGGATCATATTTTTGAGCTAATAAAAAAATGGGCTGCAAGATAGACATCGGAAGAAAGGTATCTTAGTAATCAGATTAGTTCTAGGAGGTTTTTTCCTTTGTTTACAATGCAGCAGGATTTCTCCATCAACTTCAGTGGATTCCTATAAAGGCAGTATTAATATTTAGATTAAGTTGGATAGTTTAATGAAAATGTGGATCTACAGCAAATAGTTCCTTTTGCCGTTTTGTTTTATGATATATAAAATTGATATTTGATGAGTCTTGTGCTAAATCTTAATTTTTACTTTGAAGCAGTATTCTTATGCTTCCAGGTGTATGTTCATGTTTTTTCTTCCCGCTTTGGCCAGGTAAATATTCGTTTTCGACACCCAAGGAACCCCATCATCGGCGATAAATTTAGCAGTAGACATGGGCAAAAAGGTGTTTGCTCCCAGCTATGGCCTGATATTGATATGCCATTTTCTGGAGTTACAGGGATGCGTCCTGATCTGATTATTAATCCACATGCATTTCCTTCAAGGATGACAATTGCAATGCTTTTAGAATCTATTGCTGCAAAGGTACTAACAGATAGATTTTCAACACAAATCTAAATAGTCCCAGCTCCTGCCTGTGAAAATTGTAGATATGAACTGTTTATATCAGATGCAGTGTATTGTGGATGTTAGCTATTTTAGAACCCAACAGCCTGTCATCCTAGCACGTCCAGTGGCAATCGGTTTAATGCTTTAGAAGCCTGGTATAGTTCAGTTGTTCTGCACCCTGGGAAATTTGGTATACTAGAATACATATCAAAGGAGTCACAATCTCTATTTTTATAGTTTTCATTGTGGTGGACCTATGATCTTGCTACTTCCAAAGAGCTTGTCTCTGGAAACTGTTGTCATCTTGAATATGGTATTTTTAAATAACTTATTTGGTTTTCTTTCTTCTTTTGGTTGGGAAAGAAACGCTTCTCTCCCAGAATTCTATTTACTTTACTTTCTGAAGGGCTTGCTTGGGGAATTGGTGTTCTCTTTCTAATCGATTCCAGAGGCCAATCAAATGAGTTAGTTTGTATTAAAAAGTAATTGTGATGCTTTGTTCGCCCATCTTACCATGTTTTCTTGTTAGACTTTCTTCTTTATATCAACTTTTTTCTCCTTTATGTGTACTTCTATTAGCATCTTATGTGCAAATTGTAGCCTACCAACCTCTGGGATAGCCTGGTGGTTATGGTTTCTCTGTAGGCTGAGGAACATGGGTTCTTTGGAAATATGTCATTATTTGTTCTTCTTCAGGAATCTTAATGATCTTAGAGCCTCTTTGCTTTAATATTCTTGGCCTGTTCATTGTTGTTCTTCAATCCAATAGAAGAATTTGGACTTTATTCTGAGTGTGTTCTCCTGCAAGTCCCTTGTTACCCATGTTACCCATACTCCTAGTTGCCACAATGAGGTTTCACCAGTGTATTTAGATTGATAAAGCGCTCTCGAAGGTTAAGATTTTTGTCTAGACTATTATTCAGAATAAGCCCATGAAATGATTTGTTGCAAGTTCACAGACCGATCACACTTTTTCCAGTATATTATGTGCTTCATGGAGACTAGAGTTCCGTTGCATCTCCTTTTGCATTGTGAGGTGTCTTGGAGAGTTTGGTCCAAGCACTTTGAGTCTTTTGGTTTCATGTGGATGGGTCCGATTTTTATCAATGTTCACCCTCTAATCCCTCTAGGGGATTAGGGCAAAGAAGGAAGTTAAGGTGCTTCAGAGAGGAGCTCTCTTTGCTTGTTCATGGGGGTGTTATGGCTGGAGCACACGATGGACTTTTCAAGGATTGGTTCTTTCCTCTTTCATTTCCTAATTTGTTAACTTAGAAGAACTTTTTCTGCTTTGATTTTCTACCTTTTCTTTTCTAATTTCATTCAAAAAAACTCTAGTTTGCAAAGGAACTAGGAGGATATTCTGTTTTGGCCTTTCAGATTTCTTTTTCCACTTTTTGATTTTCTTTTTTGTTCCTTTTCTTGAAGGATGACTTATCGTCCTTCTTTCTGTAAATTTTCTGTCTGCCTACATAATATTTCTTCTTTCGTTTATATGTGCGTGTATGTTGAGGCCTTCCTTTTTCTCCTTTTGTTTTCTGGTTTTCTTTGCTGTTGCTCTTGTACGGAGATCGATCCTTATAATGTGTTTGTAGTTTTTCTTTTCTTAATAATACTTCTTTTTCTATTTGTGTCAGTATGCATGCCTGTGTGACAGGTTGTAAGAAGAAACTATAGATTCAAATTATGTTTATTGAAATTTTCTTTTTTCCACAGGGAGGGAGCTTACATGGTGAATTTGTGGATGCAACACCATTTTCAAGCTCAATCAAGAAAGATAATGGCGGGGCTGAGACAGAGTCCAATTCGCTTGTTGATGAACTTGGTTCTATGTTAAAGAAAAAGGGATTTAATTACCATGGTGTGGAGGTATTATACAGTGGGGTTTATGGAACTGAACTCATTTGTGAGATATTTATTGGGCCTGTTTATTATCAACGACTGCGGCACATGGTTTCAGACAAATTTCAGGTAAGAAATAATTTAATCTCATAATATTATTAAAAAAATCTTCTTCCAGACGTGAGCTAAAGTTTTTGGCATTTGGAGCTCTTTATGTTCGATCCAATTGTTGATTCTCTAGTCTATTATTTGCCAATTTAGACTTGGATATGGAATTAGTTTCATTTTTGTAGTTCTAGTCAAGTAGCTATATGGTCTGGGGAAGTGCTGTTGTTGATGCCTCCTGCTGCAATGCTGGACTGCTGACTGTAGTTGTTTTTCTTGATCCCTATAAGCATGGGTCTCCAACCCTTTATGTGATCGATTTTCCTATTTTTTCTAAATCCTACTATGTCTTATCTTAATTTGATACAAGAGCTGAATTCCTGCTCTTGGTATTAGATTCACAGATTACAAAATTTTACATTCCCAATACACGGTGGCCCTCAGAACGAAAAAAAAACCCAAAAAAATA